TTGTAACGGTGGGAAACGGCGAGTCTGTCGCTTGTACGCAGGTCTTGTCGCGGCACGTCACACCACAGCTAAGTAGGTCCACCTTTCACTATTTAGCTATATGGTTCGTGTCGACACTAACACTTCTTTCTTCTGATCTTGTAGGCGAAAGAGGCGATTGGATTTGGTCGATCTTCGTCCGAGATCACGGGCGAAACGAAACTATAACACCAAGTTATAGAACACACGGGGTTTATCACACAGATAAAGGTTTCGATTGTTAAATGAGCACACTTGCTACTTTTATTATGAAGAAAGTTGGGTACATTTATACATGTTTTCATTATCCCGATTATCCTAATTATTCTAATTATTCTCTTTATCCTAATTATCCTCTTTATCCCACCTGTTTGTATCGCGATACCCGATATAGCATCGCGTGACGAATCACTCCTTATTTCACTGTAACAATATATTTGAAAAAAAATTACAGTATATAGTTGTTCCATATACAGTTCTTCAATAAATGAAGAAGAATCATTTAAGAATTATTATAATTAATCAAAAATAGTTGTCACTTTTTAAATCTTTTATTTTATTAATAAAAATAATTTTTATGTATTAAGTAAACCTATTCTTTCTAATAAATTATATCTATGATGATATTTTTATTAAATTTGAATAAACTTTTATTATTACATTTAATAATTGTATAAAAAATATCATTTTTATTTTTATTAAAATTTTGATACCCACTTGATTTTTATAATTACTGTTTTAATAAGCAATTTATTACTAAAAAATTTTGTTTGATACATATTTATTTAAGTATTTCAATATTAAGTTTTATAAAATTATAAAATTGAATATCAAATATTTATTTAATTAATAAAAATTTTACAGCATGTACAGTATATTTTATTTTGAAGAATAATTTTATTTAGTATTTAAAAATAAGTTTTAATAATAATATAAATTATATAGATATATTGTAGCTATTATTAGTAATCAATTAAAATTAACAAATAATTATATTTTAATTTATTTTAAAGTTTATTTATTTTTCATTTTGATATTAATAATTTTAGAAAAAAATAAATTAAATAAATTATTAATTCTTTTTAAACTTTTAATAAAAACAATAATTTGAATAAATATTTTTTATTATAAAAAAATAATTTTCAATATAAATTAAACATGAAAAGGTATTAAAAAAAATTAAAAAAAGAATTTAGATTTAGATTTATCATTTTAAATAATATTATATAACTTTTAGAAATAAATTTAACTTTTTAAAACAAATTTACATATATATATAAACTTTAAAGCACATTAACTTAATTTAAGTTACATAATAAAAAAAATCTTGTTGATATTTTGAAAATATTTTTATTATCCAAATTAAACAAGAGAAAAAAAAACAAATATTTTTATGATTTTCAAAAACTAAACAATATATTAAAATGAAATAATTTATTAACCTTAGATAAAAAATATAATAAACATTATTATTAAAGTAAAACCAAACAATTATTTGATTTTTTAAATGAAAACAATAATATAATAACAATGCAGAAAAAAATGATATTATAATAGATATATTATTAATTTTAATCAAAAGATTTAAAAGAATAGATTTAAATATGAATTTATATTTAACATGTAAATAAAAGATAATAATAAAAATGGCAAGAATAATATTATAATACAATTATGCTGGGAATTTAACATAATAAACATCATATTATTAAAACATATAAGCTAGACAAAAGCATTCTGGTTACAAGAGTAATGAGTGCAGCTAAACACCTTAAAGTTAAAATAATCTATATATCAACAAACAACAAAATTGACAAGAAAATAATTTTGCTATTCTACGTTTTTCTAATGTAAAGACTTAACCAAAACTTGCTAATTGTACATAAAACTTTTTGAAACAGAACTTGATGAAATGTTATTATATTATTAGGAATAAAAAATTTTAATCAAAATATTTTATATAATTACCATAATTAAAAATAAATGCACGTGTAATTATAACGACGACGGTATAATAAAAAACTTTGAAATTGAGTTACTGTCCACATTTTGTCAAGATACTGTAATAATTTACGTACATGTTTGCAATTAAAAAAATTATATCGTGATCTGATATTATGAATAAATAAAAATTTATAGAAAGAATAACGAATTGTTGACAAATGATCGAAAAAACAATAATTTATTAGAGAGGTATGTGTAAACTTGTTAATAAGAATTTTATGGGTAGGATTTTTAATATCAAAGATTCGTATAATGTATCTTGGATTTTTTATTAATTAATAATGCGAAATAGCGTTTCGTCGATTATAAAAAAATCAATAAAATTAAATTGCACAGTACTGTATGTACCGTACACATTTACAAAAGGAATGATAATAAATTAATATATTGACAACTTATTCCTTTAGAAAAACTGTAAAAAAGATATTTTTTAACTTTTACGGTAAAATAATACACAAGCATACTCACTAGATATGTGATTAATGCATTTTTTTTTTTGAATAAAAAAAGAATCGTTGGTTTTATTTTGCAATTTAAGATAATTATTATTAAATTAAAAAACGGTAATATGTTCTTTTTGGTTATTGATCGCGCAATATTTTTAAGAAAAACCATCTAAACATAATCATGATATACAGGACATTGTAATAAAACCACTATTTATTGACAAGTACTTGAATTTGTAACTATTTTTTGTATTTTCATTTTAATCACATCTTGAATAAATGCATTAATTAATGAAAGAAATGGATACTTCTCTTCAAAGAAAACATAAGAAAAAAACAGACAAAAGGGAAGCAATACAGTACGGTACAATATATTTGTTAGTGATTTCCGAGAAATCTTCTAACTTGATTTCGCGCGAGACCCACTACATCATTAACGTGATTTGGACGAATGTTCATCAACCTTTCTCCCGGATATTCTGCGTCGCCATTGATTACATCGATTGCGTGAGTGACCAGGGTATTAGCTACTGTAGCAACTGGAGGAACAGAAATGAGCGAAGCTGCTCCTACAGCCAGAGAAACAACAATTCTCTTGGCTTCGTCATCAATTAAACGATTTCGGTTTGATCGATCTTCTGGCACGTTAGTTCTTGACATTATTGTGTCGGTTATTAGTATATTAAAAAAACGTATTGATGAAAATTAGCTTTCAGTAAAAAAATCCAAGTCTGACGAGGAAAAATTCTTTCTTTTGAGAAAGTTATTTGCAATTACCCGTTGAAAAAGAATCGTATGAGGAGGTCATATAAATATTAATTTCAGTTTTGGCCTGCCCTTATTGGGAATGCGGGTATTTCCGAATAGCTCTTCTTACATTTGAAAATGTGAATTTGAGTGACAGAAGAACATTAATATAGAACTTTATTGTTTCTCATTTTGGAAAGAGTATGCAAAGTTAATTTTGAGCTTACTATCCTCAGTTATAATTTCTTTTACCTCCGACAAAACAGGTTTCATTATCCGGTTGTTCACTTCCTTGTGGATGAGTCCTTCCCCAGAGAGAAGTATGTATGTACACGAAAATAACCGCCCTACGTAAACATCGACGTAATCCGTGAACTTTGTTTTTAACTTAAGCAATAAAAAAATTTACTAGACTCGCAATATAAATCTTTTCTGTCTTTAAAAAATTAAGTTCCCACTGCAACCCCTCTAAACATCGTTTTTCAATAAGCAACAAAAATTTTTTTTCCTTTCAACATCGACTTCCCCACTCTTGCGGTTCATTTGAAAAAATCTTATCATAAATAACAATTTTAATTAAACCTTTTAAGGTTTATTGATTCCTTATCAGGACTTTTAGCGAAATCTCAGTGGATAGAATTCTCCCATTTTTTCCTAGAAAAGGAGTCCCATCGATGAAGATCGTCGAATTCTTTTTGTTATGCCCCATACTCGAAAAGTATGCGTTAAAAAGAAAAGTTAATGTTTCCTTGAAAAGATTCCTGATTATATCTTTGACTAGTTACAATATCTGTACGACTCCTTACATACAGATAACAGATCTTATTTCGAAAACGATATCTACAATTTACAGTACATATTTGAATGGATGTCCATGACAAAAGTACAAGCTCGCCATTTTATTGTGATTGTTTTTATTAATATCACATCACATGTCTAATCGCTACCGTGATAATGATTATCCGCTTGAATATGTAATAAAATCTCTTAATACAATATTGCCAATAAATTTTAATATTCCGTAGTATTATCATTTACTGTACTGTATGTATACGCCGAAGATTTGTTTTTTATTCAGCATTTGAGTCACAATTTCTTGCTAATCATACCTTTCATTATATCAAATCGATTTCCATCTGGTTGTAATGTGACTGTGTCATTTGTATCTAGCGTGAAGGCCCTCAGGTATCCAAAATTATTTATACCAAGGATCCTTGCTTTCCGATTATCGTGGTTTTCTAGCGTTACGATTTGATCACTAATATAATGAGTAAAGAAAGATAAAAAAAATATAATGTAAGACAATATAACACTTAAAAATAATGAGATTATGCCTTCGTTAACACACCTATGTAACCATCTTTTGTAGTAAACATCCAAGAACGATTCATAACCGCGTTCACAAAATTCCTTATATAACATTTCAAATTCTACCAAAATTTCGGCCAGTAATTCCTCCTGCGATAAAGGTCTGAGTTGCTTTGAGACATGCTGTGATTGATTATAATTTTGTATTAGCTGATTTATCGACGTCGTCGGCGCAGCATTGTCCAAATTCGCTCCGCATCCTAAAGAAAGAAAAAAGAGAAGATACTACTGAACAAGTGATATTATGCACATTCTTGGCAAATATCAGAATTGATGAAATTACCAGAAATCAACAAGAATTCATTGTTAAAAAATTCTGACTTCACAAGGACGCCGCCAATTTTAATAAGTTTTGGCAATTTAGATGAACTATCAATTATCTCGGCATAAATATCGTTTGGCCATTTAAGCTTCAACGGTATTTCCTATCAAGTAATATAACCTATATCAGAGTCTCTACCGTTTAATCATTGTCTTAAGTGAAAATTACCTCATAGCCAGGTTTGGTCCTCACCGCTTCTACCACAGATAACGACAAAAGGTATTGAATGAATACAACTGGAGCCGATTGGAGTTTGACAGAATGCCTCATGACGAAAGAAAATTGTAAGCATCCTGGAGGTGATATCCATGTGTTTCCGCCACGACCATGTCCTTGAGTTTGTTGAGTGGCGACTGTGACAAATCCGTTTGGCAATTGTTTCGTAAACTTAATGTTTCTATAAGACATACATTGTATATATTTAAATTATGTGGAATCAAGAAATAACATGGAATTGTTGATCTTACTTTTCAAGCAAGGTTTGGGTGCTTTCTAAAACTTCTCCGTACAATATCAACGATCCAAATTCCAATTCTCGAAATTTATAGGCATCCGTAGAATGCCTAGCATTACTTAAACTACGAAAATACTTTTCAAAGTCAAAGTGGGACAATGATGGTAATTCATCATCAGCCATAATATTAAGCATTTGAGAATCAGAATTATTGTTTGTAAAATCCTCATTTTCATTTGACCTGATCACTTGAAAGGAATTATATTCCGCCTTGATCGTTCCGTCGGATTCTTCTAATTGCTTTATATTATGCAATAAATTATCTCTTGATGCTGGTCTTAGAGCCCTCAAATATATTTCCTTGCTTAGATTCGGAATCGAGATGTCAGTCGACACGATTCCCAACACCGATAATAAAGAACGAATGAACTGCTTTCTAACTGTGTATTCGTCACCTTTTCCGTCATTGTCTTGATCATTCGTGAACGGCGAAAATGGGTCGACACCGCACAAGATAGCCTTACCGAGTCCAAGGTCACACTTGATGACTGCTGCATGATCGTGATCTTTGAATGTCGCTAAAGGGATGACATTTGAATAACTCTCCACATCACCGAAATATCCATCAGAATTGAGATAGATCTCCTGTGGGAGTGATTTTAACTCTGTGTCCCTCAGACAAGTCATAAACTGCTTA